CTCTCTCTCTCTCTCTCTCTCTCTCTCTCTCTCTCTCTCTCTCTCTCCCTACCTCCCTCCTTCCCTATCCTTTCTCTCCCTCATTCTCTTTTTTCTTTCATTTTCTCTCTCCAGTTTCTCTCCTCTCTTTTTCTCTCTCTCTCCCTACCTCCCCCCTTCCCTATCCTTTCTTTCTCATTCTCTCTCCTCTCTCTCCTCTCTCTCTCTCTCTCTCTCTCTCTCCCTCTCTCTCTCTCTTTCTCTTTCTCCCTCCTTCCCTCCCCCCTCCCTTCTTCTCTCCCCCTCCCCTTTCTACTCCTATCCTTGTTCAGACTGAGTTATTACTATCCAAGCTGCTGATATTGTTACACGACCGCCCTGAATCTCAGCTTCTAACCGGCACTATCTTCCTCACCTGGGAACGAAGATGGGCCACCTCTTCATCCCCCTTTCCTCCCCTGCTTCTTTCTCCATTCTCCTCCCCACTCTAGTCCCGTCCCTCTTTACCCCAGTCTCCAAGGATCGGAGAAGGGGAAAAGAGGGAGCAACAGCTGTTTGTGAAGATGGAAAGGAAGTTTCCCCACTCATTCCGGGAGGGACAGACTTTGCGAACAAGTTAGAAAGAATCCGGAGAAGGGAACCCAGGCTGAGTAGACGCTGAGGAAGCTAACTAGTGAGACTAAGAGACGAGTGCGACCGAAAACAATACATGCTACACGCACACACACAAAACTCGGCGAGTTGCAGCCGAAACTGAGGAGGTCAGCCCTGAAACTGACCAGGTCACAGTTGAAACTGGCGGGGTCAGAGCTGGAAAGCAGCGCTAGGAAAGAAGCCCAGCGTGGGCAGGGGAAACTATTTTAATGAAGGAAATCTGTCTTCCGTCTTGACCCCCAAATCTGAGAAACCCACTCCCAAAATGTCTCTTTTGCAGTCAGGGGGCCTTGGAGAGGAAGCGGCTGGGGCTCCGGGTGGCCCAGGAAGGGTCTAGGGCAGTGTGTGTGGGCGGATCCAGGTCGTGGTCTCTTTGTTTTCCTTCTTATTTTACTCTTATTTATTTTTCAGCGTGCGAAAGAGGGCTGATGAATTTACAGGTGTAGTACAGGAGTGAGAAGTATCGGCTGGAGGGGAGAAGGTCTATTTAGACACTTGAAAAGAGGAGGTAGCA